CCAGCAATTGCACGAAAGCTCCCTTTTTGTTTCTACCAACAATTGCTGGGAGACCCAAGTATCTTTCTGGATTGGTTTCGTTCATCAATCCTAGAATATGTCTGACATCTCTCATGTTCTCGTCAATAACATTCGTGCTAAAAAAATCCCAGATTTATCAAAATTTATCACCAGGCCTGAAGCTCTTCCATACCACTCCAGAATATCCTTTATTCTAGAAGCTACTCGAGTCGATGCTTCACCAAAAATGAGACTGTCATCCACAAATAACAAATGTCTTATTGTCGGTGCTTGATTATTTATCCTAACACCTTTAAACTCCCCCAAAGTCTCAGCTCGACGAATCAAAGATGATAAGCCCTCGTTACATAACAGGAAAAGATAGGGACAAAGAGGGTCCCCTTGACGAAGACCTCGCTGCTGTTCGAAGCGTTCGCCTGTAATTCTGTTGATGATCACCGAATAAGACATTGTACAAACAGACCTCTGGATCATTGCAATCCAATCATTAGAAAATCCCAATTTCCCCATCACCGCCCTGATATACGATCATTCCACCATGTCATATGCCTTGCTCATATTTAACTTTAAAGTGAAATAACCCATCCTCCCCTCCCTTTTTTTTTTGAAAGGAATGAAGCAGTTCATAAGAAGAAATAATATTGTCTGTTATCAATCTCCCTGGAACAAAGGCGCTATTAGCCTCATGAATGCACATGCTTAAATGAGTCTATATTTGATTCACTACCATCTTCAAAGCAATCTTGAATAACACGTTACAAAGACTTATTGGGCGATATTGGCTCAATCGCACAGGATTATCCACTTTCTGAAGTAAAATGATATGGGTGTGATTGATAGAGCGCATATCAAACCTTCCTTGAAGGAGCCCTATACAGAACTCGGCAACATCAGGACCAACGACATGCCAAAGTCGCTGATAAAATACAACACCTAAACCATCCTCCCCGGATGCCTTCATCGGACACATGTCATTTACTGCACAAATCACATCCTCCATAGTAAAATACTCCCTCAATCAGTCACCCGAGGAAGTAAAAAGAGATGAAAAATACTCCCGGGCTAACTCTTTCAAACCCACCTCAGAATCAACTCGTCTCCTTCCTAAGATTCCAAACTACTTATTTTCTTTCGACGCTTTCTTTGCGAGGCAAATAAGTGGAAAAATCAAGATTCATAAGTAGTTTCGTATCAACAATATCCCCCAAAACTTCATCAGCTGGAGTGAGCTCAAAGGTTGAGACAATCTCCTACTCAGATCTTCTAACGTGATACGCTTCACCCGACAAATATTTTTGAACCATAAATCCAAACCATGGCACACGTCATTTAATTTATCTGGCAATTGGCCATCCATTTAATTCCACAACCGAATCACTTCTTCCTCACAGGAGTCCTTAAGAAGCCAAGACGCCTCAATTTTGAAATGCCATCGTCTGGTTGGAGACCCATTTGACAAAGTGCTAAGGAACAGTGGGCAATAATCTGAAAATGCATGAGAGAGATGTTGCATAGAGCAATAATATCCCGTGAAAACCAAGTGAACCATCCGAGGTCTCCCCAATCCTTGGACGTTTCAATTGATGAGTTTCATTGCATCCGGCTGGTCTGGCCTGCTAGACCTGCTGATATCTCCCTGTTCCCAGCTATGTTTTCTTGATTCGTCAAAGGAGCTGCCGATGTACTCCTCTGTCGCTTGGCACTTTCCAACTTCTCAAATGACCTCTCTTCTTCAGCCGATGACATAACAATGTCCTGACCATCCCCTGTTAACGAACCCCCAGTGACAGCCTTAAAAGTCCTCTCCACCCATTGCTTGGTGGAGCTAATATTATCCCGAGCCAACCGTGGTTCATACCCCGTAACTTGGAATCTATCCCCCGAAGCATCAACTTTCGAAGGTTTATCCCGTAATCACGGACTAGACGTTGCTCCTCGCCTCCTTTGTGGAGCTCTAATAGACATGTCTCATCGGAGAGTCAAGTCTGTATTCTCCCGTAAAACCCGCAGCGGACAAAATTGTTCACCATGGCCTAGTTCCACACAAGAAGCAAAAGAGTCGAAGCTTCTTGTATTGAAAAGTGGCATAAGTGAAACTACTATTAGCCAGCGCAAACTTCTTCCTCTTCTTCAAAGGCTTACGAGTGTCCATTCGATCCTGAATTCGAAGATAACCCCTATACCCAGTTGAACAGTTGACGCATCATATTCGATGAAAGTGCCAAAAAAAATTACCAAATTGCTTTGCTACTGGTTCCGATATGTAGCCGACAGGTAAGACGTTGACTAAAATCCAGAAATCCGCTGAATCAAGAGCTACCAGCATCGGATCCTCCCTCGCCTTCAGACGATGCAAGAAAATCAAATGGGAATTAAAATACCATGGCCCCTCTGATTCTACTCTATTAGCATCAACCTCATGATAAAATCTAAACAAAAAACGACCTTCACCCAATTCAGAAATCTATGTACCCCCAATGGGGTGCCAAACATTTGCTAACGTAACCTTCATGGCCTGGTAATTAACCATACATGTTGTAAGAAACCTACCGACAAAAACAATGGTCAAAGTTGATTGGATCGGAAGGAACAACCGATTCTAAAGTGAAAGCCTCTTCCTCCTCCTCCCCGATCGTCAAGTTGCTCAAATCTGTTGTAATCTCCCCCATCAAAAAACCAGATTGAAAAAGAAAACCCCCTGGAAAACTAGGAAAACTAGATGACTGAGAAGATCTCAGAGGACTGCCAACGGCAACGGAGAAAGACTGTCAAAGACACAGAAAACCCTAGCACAGAGGGTAATTTTAGATTTTTAATAAATTGCTTTAAGTTTTATATAAAATTTATATTTCTTTTTAATTTGTCATAATAATAATAATAATAATAATAATAATAATAATAATAGCTAAATAGAGGCTGAATTTATCAAATAATACAGTTGAAAAAATTGTTCGAATATGATACTCTCGAAATTATTTCTTGAAATAGAGTGAACGCTACAGTAAATCCGAAGTTGCATTGAAGTCCAAGTGTCTTACATATAAATTTGGGGTCCTATATTTTTTCATTAATTTCATTGCTATGTAAATGTATAAAGGGTAAATTACACAATTATTTATTCAACTTTATTCTTTCTTCAATTTCACTCATTGTACTTTTAATTTTTTTCAATTTAATCACTCAATTTCAATTAAATGTAACTACATTGTTTTGGACAACAATTTCAATTAGAAATTATGTAAACACGATTTTGATTTCTTTAGTACACAAATTCAATGCTTGGACTCCAAAAAAAATTACCCTTTGTACATTTATGAAAAAGTGAAAAAATTACCCTTTAGGGATTATTTGGATGGGGAATGTGAGATTCTCATAGGAATGTAATCTCTCGTTTGGTTAGCCCGGGAATCTCATTCTCGGTAATGTAAGATTACCATAAGTAGATTTTTTGAGGTATATTACCGGGAATGCCATTACCTTCCTCTCCTTAGATATTGTTGGATTACCGACGTTTTGGACTAAAATGCCCTTAATTTTTTTTTCAAAAATATCCTTCTCCTATAATTGAATAATAAAAATTTTACGAAGGTTAAATTACAAATTTATCCTTAAACTATTTTAGATTTACAAAAAAAATCTATAATTAAAATTTTATATGAAATTCAGGGTTAAAATAAAATTTACCCTTTCATTAAACCTTTTTATATTTTCAATTTTGTAAAAAAATTATATAAATTTTATGAATTTATTTTTTTAAATAAAATATATAAATATTTTCCAACTTGTTAAAAAACAAATATATAATAAGGACAATTTGGTCAAATATACATTCCAATAATATTTTATTCCTTTAACCAAATACGGTAATCTTACATTCTTGCTAAACCAACTAAACACAAAAAACAACATTCTCAGTAATCATATTCCCTGGTAATCTTATATTCCCATTGTTGTCCAAAACAATGCAGTTGCATTTAATTTATTTATTTTTATTATACCCTAAATTAGTGGGGGTCATAACTCCCCCCTAAATCCAATTTCAATTAGAAATTATGTGAGCACGATGTAGGTTTATTTAGTACACAAATTCAATGATAGAGCTGATGGATCAAATTGACTTCCATATAACAACTTGAACAATGGTCGATGAGTGATCAAAATAGGAGTAAAACAATCCATGTCATTGTAGAGTGATCAAAATAGGAGTAAAATAAAAGTTGAGTGATTAAATTGAAAAAATTAAAAGTACAGTGAGTAAATTTGGAGAGAGAGAGTAAAATTGAATGATTAATTATGTAATTTACCCTTTATACATTTCTATAACAATAAAATTGGTGAAAAAAAATATGAGAAATGCACTACACTACATACGTCTCCCCCAAATTTACTCCAATGCGTCTTTGGGTAATTTTATATTTTTAATAAATTGCTTTAAGTTTTATATAAAATTTTTATTTCTTTTTAATTTGTCATAATAATAATAATAATAGCCAAATAGATAATATATGATCTAATTTAAAATTTAAATTTGATATTATGGAAACAATGGACAGCCTTCTTCACATCAACCAAAACGTAAGATCAAAGCCAACATTCTCCGCGCGTCCAATTGTGAACCATGAGGTCCCATGTTTGACCACACCGTGACACGTTGTAGAAACTTCAGAGAATATCTTACCTCGACAACCGCACCATTCAACACTTGTCCCTGCGGCCCCCACTTCACAACGTGGAAGATCACTAGATTTCACCACTCCCATCACACTGAATCACGTGAAAGAACAGTGGCTCGAGTTGCGCGGCGGCCCACCTTTTGATCCAACTCCTCCCCCAACCGCTGTTTTGATCCGCACGAAAGGGGAAAAAAATCCAAAGCAAACCAATATATTTTACGTGGTTTTCGCGGCCATAAACGGAAGTTGGATCTCAAAACTTCAGATAGTTCTTCACTTATTTTGTTTTGTTTTTCTTTTTTTTATGAGTTTAATTGGATAATTGCACTGCGAACAAATTCCCTTTCTTCCTTTCCACTGAATAGGGTATCTAAAAATGGTTGAAATGGAAGTAAGTGCGGTGGAGAAGAAGAGTAACGAAGAAAACGATGGATCCTTGTGGGAAAGATTCTTACCGCGAATGGTTCTCAGAGTGCTTTTAGTTGAAGCCGATGATTCAACTCGTCAGATTATCGCCGCTCTTCTTCGGAAATGCAGTTACATAGGTTTCTTCTTTACCTACACTTTCTTCATTTTGTTAAATCGTCATTATTCTATTTATCTAGATCTACCGATTAAATTAGATTATTTGTATGATTCCCTTTCTGTTTTTAATGTCTCATTGTTTTTCTCAATAGTTGCGGCTGTTCCTGATGGTTTAATGGCGTGGGAGACTCTAAAGGATCGACCTCATAACATTGATCTTATATTGACTGAAGTAGAGTTGCCTTCCATATCTGGATACGCGCTTCTTACTTTGGTCATGGAACATGATATCTGCAAAAATATTCCAGTTATAAGTATGCAATTTCAACTAAAATTTTATTGATGCTATACCATCTTTGATTTATTAATTATACTTGATTAGGAATGAAGCTCAAATGTTTTGTTTTTATGTATAATTAAAACAGTGATGTCATCGGAAGATTCATTTAGCATGGTTCTGAAGTGTATGGTAAAAGGTGCAGCTGACTTTCTTATCAAGCCTGTTCGGAGGAATGAGTTGAGGAATCTGTGGCAGCATGTTTGGAGAAGACATATGGTATGCACTTTACTCACATTTTGTTATATCGTTTCTTGGTTGAAATCAAGCTTTTAACTTGGATTGATTTTTTTTCTGTTATTTGCTTTACATTTTATCAGCTAGCCGGTGGATGTGCTCCTCATAATTTACCTGCGTCAGAACATAAAGTTGAAGCCACGGCTGAGAACAATGATGAGAGTAACCAATCCAGTGATTATGAATCATCTACACAGAAAATCAAAGACGAAAGTGATACCCAAGTAAGCATTTTCTTATCTTTTGGTATTGGATTTAATAAAGGCATCCATGTAGTGTTCTTTGAATGCCGAAAGCCGATAAAATGAATAATTGGTTAGTTGTTTCCACTATGACAAGTATCAGTCGAGAATTGTTCCTTTTTATGAGGGGTCATAATGATACTGCAATCTACCTGACAATTGTTGGTTCGATGAGTCTATGTGAGCAAACATTCTTTTTCAGAGTAGATGGGCTTCATGTAGTTCCACAGAGAGACTGCATGTGTTGCCACCACTTGTGCACAGCTCTTGTAGAACATCTTAATTGGAAGCTTAGAGTACTTACATGTAAAATATGCAGGGTCTTTCGCAATGGAAGTGTACGAGTTCAAATATTAGCTATACAGGCAGAGAACACCAGGGAAATGTTGTCACACTAGGTCACGAGTCACTTAAAAATGAGGGTCAAGCTGAAGGTATGTTACAATCACTTTTTACCCTGTTTTAATACTTCTTAATTTTTCCTTTTCTAATGTCTGCTAAAAGAAAAGTATTTTCCTCTTCACGAGCAGGGTTATATGGAAATCGATTTGTCTCTGAAAATTCAAAGGGGTCTGTAAAGGAGGTTGCCTATTGCAGTGACACTGGTGAATCCATTGCACCAAAATTGGAAGAAAGCTCTGCTTTCCTTGAAGGGGCGACACATGATACTGTTGGACTACAAAGTGAAGGAAGAACTGGGCATGTTACCATGGGAGTTGGCTGCAACGACAAATTAATAGAATCTTCTACTGGAGCTATTGATTTAATTGCTTCATTTGATAAACACCCCAAGGGCACCTTTGTGATTATTGATGGTCCAAACAAGTCTGAATTTTCTCCACAGTTGGAGCTTTCTTTGAGAAGATCTTGTTCAGTGAGCTCAAAGAATCAAGGTACCGGTGAAAAGCACATACTAAATCATTCCGATGCATCAGCTTTTTCATGGTAAACATTCTGTTTCCTTTCTTTTATCTTCTGTATAAATTGAGCTTGAGGTCTATAGATGTTTAGGCAAAAATAAGATGTTATTTTATTGTTTACTTGATCTTTGTTTAATTAGCAAAAAAGAGTTGCTTGTTCTTATGCTTCAATAATGTTTTGTTCTTTCTCCATGTTTTATCATTCTTAATGAAGGATTTATTTGGCTATTCTTGAAAATTTTATTTCCTGAACCACTATTTATTAGAAACAGTTTCTGGAGAATTAGAGATTAGGTGAAGGTGAGGTGTATATATATATATTCAATGTATATCTGCTGCCTTCTATAAAGACATCCTGAACCTTCTTTTATTGAACTGGTGAGGTATATATACATTTCAGGGGGTTGAAATCCTTCATGATCTGTAGTGAGCATTCTTTATTTTGTCTGTGAACGAGCAACTGAATTCAGGATGAAGTAAACTTTTGGATCAAATAAATTCTATCAATACTCTCCGTACAGAATTCATTCAATTTTGAAGGAAATATGGCTGTGTGCTTAATCTCTATTTATTGAAATGCAGGTATAAGAATAGGAAGTCACTAAAGCCCGTTTTCCCTACCATAGATGGCAACCGTGCTGCATTAAAGGAGAATGACAGTAAACTCATACGAGACCTGGAAGGTAAGGATGGTATTTCTGAACGTCATGTTGTTACACCGAGTGATAGTTGGGAGATTCTTCCTAGTCCAGTGAATGGTCAATCTGACAGAACATTTTCAAACGCATCACTTGGGCTGTTTTCTGTTGCAGGGGTGAGGTTGGTTACTGGATGTAGTCCCAAACAAGCAACTATGCAACAACATTCTCCCCTTCCTGTGAACACCTCATTGCATTCAGATCCTGATGTTAATGATTCAGAACAGGTTAATCACTGGTCTGATGAAGCTACCAATTCTACTGTTGTTCAAACTGTTCAAGGGCAGGACAAGCAGGTGCCTGTTGAGGAACTAAGGTGCAGTTCTCCTGTTGACGATCTGAGTTCTTGCAGTCACTTATGTAATGATGTCTCAAATCATGAGAAGGGCTTCGCTCATGGTGGCGGTATGAGTTGGAGCAGTACTAGTGCTAGTGCTGCTACCTCTGCAGCAATTAATGACAGCACAGCCACGGATATTTCCGGTGGTAGCAATCGCTTTGTTCATGATGGATTAAAAAGGATGGGTGCTCCTCACTCCAGCGAGAGAGAAGCCGCTTTGACAAATTTCCGACTTAAGAGGAAAGATCTATGCTTTGAGAAAAAGGTACATTACGTTAATATTACTACTAGTACATTATTTTTGGTAAAATACAAGGATGAGACCTATGGTTGTATACTTATGACAGTGTATCCTTTTTTTTAAGAAAAAATAACCTCAGTGACCGAAAATGCCTTATAATATACGATTTAATTAATTTTTTTTCGATTTGCCAAAATGACCAACAAATCGCAACGCGAACTCTAATTTTTCAACTCAGTTTCCAAATTCGCAACGCGATTGTAAGATTCGCAACGCGATTTTGAAAAATGTGTTGCGATAGTTAAAATGTGTTGCGAGAGTTTGAAAAACGTGTTGTTGCGATAGTGAAAAAGTGTTCCGATAGTGAAAAATCCAAAATAAGTTTACATTAACTATTCCAAATTCACGTGGAGTTTGAAACAATAAAGAATGTGTTGCGAAAGTGTAAAAGATTCCCAAACCATTTGTAAGATCTTAGTTTGAAACAATAAAGAATGTGTTGCGATAGTGTAAAAGATTTCCAAGTGTTTGCAATGCTCATTCCCACATAGTATTGTAAACACTATTGGGAATGGGTATTTAAGGCTTGGATTTCTCACTTCCTTGTTGAGTGGAAGAGAACAAGGGGGATTCTCGCGCGCCGCCGTCGTCCCGTCTCGGGTCGTGGTCGTGGTAATACGTGTCTTCGATACGTTCGCGTGGATACTATCTTTTTAGAGAAAATTCTTAAGAAATCGTAACGTGAACTTTGACTATTGCAACGAATTTGGACTAACGTAAATTTGGAAAATCGCATTGCGATTTTGTATTATCGCGTTGCGATTTACATATTCGCATTGCGATAGTCAAAATCGCGTTGCGAATCTGAAAATTGGAGATTGTGTTGCGATAGTCAGAATCGCGTTGCGATTTACATATTCGCATTGCAATAGTCAAAATCGCGTTGCGAATCTGGAAACTGATTTGCGATACTGGAGATCGCGTTGCGATAGTCAGAATCGTGTTGCAATTTACATATTCGCATTGCGATTTTGGAAAATCGCAACGCGAATTTGGAAAATCGCAATGCTATAGTCCAAATCGCGTTGCGAATCTGGAAACTGATTTGCGATACTAGAGATCGCGTTGCGATTTAGAGATCGCATTACGATATTGTTGGTCATTTTAGCAAATCGAAAAAAAGTTGGTCAAAATCGTATATTATAAGGCATTTTCGGTCACTGAGGTTATTTTCTCTTTTTTTAAACCTAAATAGGTTTAATATAAGAACCGTAAGCGACTGGCAGAGTAACGTCCCCGAGTAAAAGGACAGTTTGTCCGTCAAGTGCAACGTGACACGCCTGTAGGCAATGTCAAGTAACTTAAGTCTTGTTGAAAACATGAAGCCATATTATTGTTGTTGCAAGCATCTCCAAGAAGTTTGATTTGTAAGGAAAAATGGACGGATGATACAGATAGCCGAAATATTGCCAACTCCTCAAGTAATTTGCCATGGATGATGACTGTAGGTTTTTGCATTCAACTCAAGTAGGCGGTATTATTATATCGTGACTAGTGGGGTAATCTCGTTCTTTTTCCTGGTATATTTATATATCAGATGTGTGTTTGAATATACGTTGGACAACTGACTTATTGTAGTTAAGAAGGGTTTGTTGTATATAGATAATATAATTTGGTTCAATATACGAGTTAAAATATGCTCTCTGTCTTTGAATATTTTCTTTACAACTTATTGTTGTTTCAACCAAATGGATTCGACATGATTGTTGAAAGTAACATTACTGTTCGAGATTCTTTCTGATGTAAAATAGTGTCGGAGAAAATTACAAAAATGGGGGGATGTGGTTCTGTTTCACGTGGAGGAAAGGAAGAAAAGCATGGAACTCTGACGTGTGCACATATGAATATTAATGGGACTCGATTCAATAACAATGTGAGAACGTGATGCAGGGGATCCGAGACAGATGATGCTGAGCTGTCAGATTGCACCTTGATGGTGCTGAGATACCATGAGTTGGCAGATTAGCGCAAAGGCGGGAGTTGATTGTGATATGTTCCTCATTGGGGCCGTTTTGAGTGCGTTTTAGTCTTTTGGCCATAACTTTGGCTACGGGTGTCGGAATCATGCATAACACCCCAATTCGGAAAGCCCATTTCGATGCGCACACTGTCCACATCGAGCATGGCTCCATATGGCCTTTTTTGGACCTCAAATTTTGCCATTTTCCCCTCCGAATCACTATTTTTATTTATTTTTTACTATTTATGGTAATATTTCGCTTGTCAGATAGGAATTCAATTTCAACCCGATTTGGGTCGAATTTTTTGCAGATTGTTTATTTTATTTCGAATTTCAATTTAGAGTGATTTTCAAGATTTTTCTATTTTTAGTAAAATTCGGATAAACATGATTTTTGGCTATAACAGTCCGACTTATGGGCTGATTTTGGTATTGTTTGATTTTATTATATTTCGTTAAACCCTAGAGACTTGTTTTCTCTGATTTTGGGTGAATTTTCTCTTGTGAATCATCTGTTGGAACCAGCCTACAGGATAATCGCTATCATGTCCGGCGTCAGTTGGCATCAGAGCTTCAATATATTCTTGGGAAATTTCACCAGTATCAATGGCTGGAGGTCATGGTCGTGGCCGTCGTGAGCAGGTTCCGAATGAGGAAGCCCAATGCCATGATCGCAACGTTCAGGATGCGATGATTACGGATTTGCAGAGGCAAGTCGCAGAATTAACCCAGCGCCTGGCAGCGTAGGATTTTGAGGATCGTGAGGCGTCTGATCACGATACTAATTCCACTTTCGAAAACTCATATAACAATCGTGCTCTATTCCGGGAGCACCGTGGCCGGAAGGAGCGTTATGGAGACCTCGTTTTTTGGGTCGATCTCCCCGAGTTTTATGGTACGTTACAGGCCGAGGGATTCGTGGATTGGATTAATGAAGTTGAGCGTATTTTTTATTATAAAGAAGTCCCCGATCGTGTGAAAGTGAAACTGATCGCCATCAAATTCAAGGGCAGAGCATCTGCGTGGTGGGAGCAGTTGCGACGTTCACGAGACAGACAGGGCAAGGCCAAGATCACTGATTGGGAGAAGATGAAGAAGAAGAAGATGAAGGGTCACTTCCTTCCATTCGGCTATACGCAAACCTTGTTTCAACGACTTCATACGTTGAGGCAGGGCGCACGATCAGTCGATGATTACACAGAGGAGTTTTACCAATTGGTCGCCCGGAACGATTTATGTGAGACGGAAGAACAGATGGTGGCGCGGTATTTGGGGGGTTTACGCCAGCCCTTGTAAGATGTCCTCAGCCTTTGTTCATTGTGGGGTGTTTCAGAAGCTTACCAGCGTGCACTTGCTGTTGAAAAATAGCAAAACAGGAGACCAGTGATCAAGAGCGATCATAACAGTCGACCAGTTCGCCCTCAAGATTCCCGTCCTGCTCAGTAGCCACCGCAGGGTAATTCTAACCCTACTATTAAATGTTTTCGTTGTGGTGAACAAGGGCATAGGACGACTGATTGCAGGAAGCCTGCTAGTCAAAAGGGCAAAAATTTGTTGATTGAGGAAAATGCGAAAGACGAGACTGAGGAGATTGGGGAGCCCATATATGGCGATGATGAGACTGATGATGTGTTGTATGGAGATGGTCATGAGACTCTAGTCGTTCGCAAGAGTCTACTGACTCCCAAGGGTGATTCAGGGGACGATTGGTTGAGAATCAATATTTTTCACACGACCTGCACAGTTGCATATAAAGTTTGCAAAATGATCATTGACAGCGGCAGTTGTGAGAATAGTATCTGAGGAGGTTGTCTAGAAATTACAATTGAAGACGGACCGTCATCCTAAGCTATACAAGTTGTCATGGCTAAATAAAGGTAGTGAGATAACAGTTGATAGGCGACGCCTCGTGTTTTTTTCAATTGATAGAAAATATTTTGATAATGCCTGGTGTGATGTTGTGTCTATGGATGCGTGTCATATATTGTTGGGTCGACCTTGGCAGTATGATCGCAGTGTCATTCATGACGGACGGAAGAATACATATTCCCTTAGCATCAAGGGAAAAAAGATTGTGTTAGCATCCCGACGGGAAGGACTCACTCCTACCTTGGTAACCAATAATACTAACATGCTTTCTATGTTCAGGTTTTTAGATGAGATTGAGCATGGAGGCGGGGTCTATGCCTTACTACCTTGCGAGAATGGTGCAGTAGATGTGGATGCAGATTTACCAGTAGAGGTACAGCGGCTGCTAGCATAATTCTCTAACTTGATGCCAGAGGATCCTTCTCCTGGGCTACCGCCTATGAGGGATATTCAACATCAAATTGACCTTGTTTCTGGGTCAAGTTTTCCAAATCGACCACCATATCGCCTTAGTCCCAAGGAGGTTGAAGAGTTGCAGCGGCAGGTGGAAGAGTTGTTGGAGAGGGCTATATTCGAGAGAGTATGAGCCCATGTGCAGTCCCTGCCCTGCTAGTGCCAAAGAAAGATGGTTCTTGGCGTATGTGTGTTGACAGCCGAGCGATCAACAGAATTACAGTGAAATACCGGTTTCCAATTCCCCGTCTAGGTGATATGTTAGATCAGCTATCCGGTTCTAAGGTATTCTCAAAAATTGACCTTAAAAGCGGATACCACCAAATCAGAATAAGGCATGGAGATGAGTGGAAGACGGTGTTCAAAATGCCACAAGGGTTGTATAAGTGGATGGTCATGCCTTTTGGGTTATCCAATGCGCCCAGTACGTTCATGAGATTTATGCATCAGGTCTTACGGCCTTTTATGGGAAAATTCATTGTAGTTTACTTCGATGATATCTTCATTTATAGTCCGACATGGGCTTCACACTTCGATCACCTATGTACTGTTTTTAAGATGCTAAAAAAGGAGTGCTTGTTTGTCAATCAGAAGAAGTGTTCTTTCTTCACTACTTCTGTGACGTTTCTTGGTTTTGTTGTGTCTACTGATGGTGTTCATGCAGATTAGTCAAAGATAGATGTAGTCTTGGAGTGGCCCAGACCAAGGACCTTACATGACATCCGAAGTTTCCATGAATTGGTGTAACACCCCCAACCCGTACCCGACCCGGATACGAATC